AGCAGGGAGCCCGATGCGGGACTCGGTCCAGGGACTCCAGGATCATGACCTGAGCCGAAGGCAGTCGCTTAACCAACTGAGCCACCCAGGCGCCCGAATTTTATCTATTTTAAAGTCAGGTTTCAAAAATTATGGCAGAAGCACTTTTCTAGAGATTAATTTGTTACTTTACATATCTATTTCTGAAGATTTTCTTCCTCTGTATTTACCATTATAGTAAACTTCCTTTATCTGGAATCATAGAGGTATAAGTGTTGAGAGATCTACATTAAGATTGTAGCCCTTATACTTTGAACATTTAAATTGTTCTCTGAGGTGTACTAGATGCATTTACCTGCCTATTTTAGAAGAGTGTCTTAGGTATCATTAAACTACGTGGTGATTTAAGATTATTGCCTCAGATCTACAAGCATATCATAAATTCTCCATCTTTGAAATGAATTTTGACTCTCATTCTGACCCTTAGCTTTTTCTAAGACCGTTTTTTAGAGGCTTGGGGCATTTCCATCTTTTGCTTACCCATAAAAAGCTTTAGGATACCTCTCTCATCTATATCTGGGGTACTCTGAAGCATTTTGCCTTCACTTCCAAATCCAGGGCACCACCAAATGGCATATGTACAAATTGCAGGCTTCTTCCAATAAGGCTTGACCCACGTTCCCAAGCAGGTGAAGTCCTGGGAAATATCCAGGTCTGCCGCTCTAGTTGGAAGACTCTCTTACCGCTGTTGGAATGCAGGAGAGGCACTATGGGTAACACTCGGTTTAGGGGCAGCAACGGCTCCTACGTAGTGTCGATCTTAGAGAACTGATACCTTCCCATTTGTGCCATCTTCAGTCCAGTCCCATAATGGGGACGTAAGAGGAGCTGACCCACAAATAATTTTGTTTTAGAAGTGTTTGGGGGAAAAAAGACTTTGGCATTTACATGTAAATGAGATGTATAAATAAACCTATCACAACACACTTAGTGATAAAATTAGAAGTGTTCAACTGGCTTTGGACCAAAGTACTTTTTCTCACTGCTACCATTAACCTTGGAATGGAGGAACAATCCAGGAGTCAAGAAAAAGAATAAGAAGTAGAATTTTTTGGAAAAGATGAGACAAAACTCTCTTTAGTCACACTTGACATGATTGTCTACCAGAAATATAAGACACTCAACTGAAAAGCTATTAGGACCAAATAAATTTACCAAATAAGAAACTGTTTTCCTTTGTACAAACAATATGCAAATTAAAATATAATGCAAAATATTTTATGCATAGTAGGAACAAAAAAATACAAAATACTCAACAATAAACATAACAGGAAATGTTCAAGACCTATGTGGCATAAAATATAAAAGTAAATAAAGGAAGTGAAATAGAACTGAAATAAATAGAAATATACCATGTTGGTGGATGAAAAGATATTCTCTCCCAAACTTTCTATATATTAAATCCTAAGAAAACTTTCTTTTTTTTTAAAGATTTTATTTATTTGTCAGAGAGAGAGACACAGAGAGAGCACACAAGCAGGGTGAGAGGCAGGCATAGGGAGAAGCAGGCTCCCCGCTGAGCAAAGAGCCCAATGCGGGACTCGATCCCAGGACCCTGGGATCATGACCTGAGCCAAAGGCAGCCGCTTAACCAACTGTGCCATCTGGGTGTCCCCCAAGAAAAATTTCAATAGGATTGTTTTGACTTGAATTTCACAAACTGATTTTTAAATTCATCAGAGGGGCGCCTGGGTGGCTCAGTTGGTTTCGTGTCCAACTCTTGATCTTGGCTCAGGTCATGATCTCAGAGTTGTGAGTTCAAGCCCCATGTTGAAAAAAAATAAAAATAAAATTAATCAGGAAGAGATACTGTTCCCCCCCCAAAAAAAAAAGTTGTGAAGAAAATTGAGGTAGAACTCCTCCTTCCAGATGCCAAAACATTAGGTAAAAACAGTACAAGTGGAGAAAACAGATCAACACAGATCTAGTAATATAAGGGAAATTAAAGTGAGCATTTTATAGTAGTGGAGAATGACTATGGTATTTAATAAATAGCATTGGTATTTAATAAAATCGTATATCTATTTGGAGAAAATAGTTTCTTACCTCATACCATGTTCCAAATTAAATCATAGATTGATTAAATATATTTAGAAAAAATATAAAATCTTCTTTTATCTATATTTTGTTTTAAATTTTCTGAGAAAATATAGGTTAATATTTTCATAATTTGGGTATGGGGAAACCTTCAGTAAGACTAAAAACTCAAAATTATAAAGGAAAAAAGGACAAATTTGACCATGGAAAGTGTTTTTAATTTTTTTAATTTAAATTCAATTTAATTAACATGTAGTGTATTACTAGTTTCAGAAGTAATTTAGTGATTCATCAGTTTCATATAACACCCAGTGCTCATTACATCAAGTGCCTTCCTTAATGTCCATCACCCAGTTACCCCAACCCCCCACCCAGGGGTTTTTTAATTCTTTACTGCCCAAGATACCAAACAAGAAGTTAAAGACTAGCTCTGGAGTTAGAGAGTACACTTTAGCATGTATAACCAAATATGAATACCCACAAAATATATAGACCTCAACAAATCAATAAGAAAAAAAAAAAAACCTGCTCATAGAGAAACAGAAAAGCTTATTAAGTGAGAATTTACAGAAAAAGAAATATCAATAGCCTGTGAACAATTAAAAAGTTGCTCTGTCTTACCAGTAGTATATCAGGGAAATGTAAAATGAAAGGTGAAATATTTCTTCCTATGAGATTGATAAAATGAACAATGTTGATAATATCCAGATTTCAGCAGGAGTAAGTAAGAAAAATGGGCACTGTCATGCTCAGAAGGTTAGAATATAAACTGATACAGCCAAATTGGGGGACAATTTAACAAGATCTTTTCGACTATAAAGGGGAATACCCTTTCAAATGGCAGCTCCGCATTTAGCAATCAGCCCCACGGAAATATTTGTTCATATGCACAGTATTTTTTGCAAGAGCAAGATTACAATAACCTCTAGTCATCTGTGGTAGGAATGGTTAAATAAATCGTTACGCCCATGGAGTGGAGCACTGTGTACTCACTCCATGACTGTTGTGTATCCGTCCGTATGTCTGGACATAGAAAGACCCCAAGATACTATGTTAAGAAAATAGCAAGTTCATGGAAGAGTGTTTATAGTAAAATCTCATCATTCATATTTTTAAAATTGTTTATGTGTATGTATGTATATAGGTATGTCTACCCATATACATATGTATATAAATGTTCACCCAGAAACATTTGGAAGAATACTTCCAAACTATTAACAATGGTACTTCCAGAGAAAAGAGTGGAATCAGAAAAAAGGAGCATAGAAGATTTTCATTTAATTATATATATGTATAATACAGTGTTCTTAAAATTATGATGAATAGGTTTTATTTTTTCAGTTTAAAAGAAAACAAGACTTTGAAAATCCAGAAGAAAATATCTTACAAGAAAAAAACTGTACAGCCATCTTTAAAGGAGGAATTGTGCACTGAGGTGTAGCCGTTCTGCCCTCTGCTCTTTATTCAATAACCTAGTAAAGAATTATAGAATGTGAAGGTAAAAAAAAAAAAGAGTAATAGGGTGAATTTTAATTGAAGTGTAACCAAATATGTAGATGAGAGATTGCAGTCCTCACAAGCACATTATACATGGTGGAGAGGTTTCTGTCTCCATGGCAACACCAGCACCGAAGAGAAAGCATGAAAGGAATCTTTTTTTTTCTCAGGGAGAAGTGCATGACGTGTGTGCTGATTTACTGAGCATCAAATTTACCTCTTATTGTTCATCCTGAGGAGGACTTTCTCTTTTTGAATGCTCAATCATGAAATCACTGACTTGGAATGGCAGAAGCCAGAATGAAATTTCTGACTAGGTGGTCAGTCCCCTCGCCTTGACCGCACCAGTAACAGCGGCTCAAGGTCAGCCAGTCAGCTCTGGCCCTGGGAGTCCACATACAGGTGCCAGAAAAGCAGTACAACGTTCCACTCCACTGCTGGGTCTATGGCACGCCGTTTTGTCTGGGGTGTGCTCTTTTACCTCTAAAAATGCCGACTTGACTTTCAGAAAATATATACATGATAGATGCTTAAATAAGTTACCTAAAATTCAATATTTTTCTGCTAACATGTAATCCTTAGTTGTGCCGTCAAGGACAGCCTTGAAAAATTATTAGCTGTCAACTCAGTTAAGGTTATTTTTTTCCTTGTCTTTCAGACATCTCGAGATCTGGCATGTTTTATACAGTTTGAAAATGTCAACATTTATTATGGGATTCAGTGTAAAATTAAATATAAAGCACCCACTGACTACTGCTTTGTTTTAAAGGTATGTCATAAGAAGTCCTTGATTTAGATTTGTGAGCAATTCGAGTCAATATTTCCTTTTAAGGGAAAAAAATGCTAAATGTTATATAATTAACCACAAGTGTATCATAGTAATTTTTTCATTTTAAACCAAAATAGGAAAGGTGGAAGCATTTCTGCCCTCAGTTCCTGTTTCTGAATCTAAAACTATTTTATAATGAATCTGTCCAGGCTTCTTCATCACTTATAAAAATGAAAGCTCTCCATTTTGAACAAATCTGATCTATGGTTTTTCAGTTCTTTATTGGACCATTATTCCACTGTAAGAAGTTTTTAGAAATTAGGAACGTCACAAGATTTCCTGGAAAAATATAGAAAATACAAAAAATAGAAAAAAAAACTTTGTCTAAAAATAGCATTACTGGGTCTTGAAACTTTTTAAGGTGTATATTATCAAAAGGTAATTATCGGGTGTTTGGTAAGGTTTACGTTAGCACCGTCTTTTGGAAGGTTGGGCAGAAGCGACTGTTTTCCGCCAAATTAACAACTGACTCCTAGAAATGGATTCAGGGAATTTATGTAGCTATTCTGACCATACCGTTGCCTCAAACACCATAAATTCCTTTCCCTTCTCAGCCCCTCAATCACATCTCATACCAGAAAGTGCTGATTATCTAATTCCATAGGTATGGCACAAGGCTGTGTACAGAATTTCTCCTGAGAGTCAGGTTCCTCATTTTCCATCTGGGATGGAAGTCTGTGGAGCAGGTGTTAATAAGACCAGGGTCCTGGTGAGATTCCTTTGTAGGTCAGTCACCCACCCACCCCCCCGACGGAAGAAGCCCATCACCACGTTCCTAGAAATGTCTGCTGCCACACTGCATGTGGGTGTCCATGTCACCTCTCCTGAGGAAGTGGTTCAAAGTCTGTACTACAGGTTTACATCATTTTCGTAAGTGGAGGACAACACTTAACATTTAACATGTATGGCAAACATATTCTTTGTCAAGGACCACGTCATTAGAGATGATCTCAGAGGTGCTCACACTAGTGTGATGTTGTCACGCATCTGTTACTCCAGGAGTTGGGTGTCTGTCTCCTAGACCCAAACGTTCCCAAAACTCTGATTGAGCGCAGGCAGCCTGGGCATTCATTCATTCGTTCGTTCGTTCATTCATTCATTCGTTCATTTACTCAATATTGATTGAATGCCAGCTATCTGCTAGGTACTGTCCCAGGTGCTAGGAATACAGAAGTGAACCAAACTTATAATAATCCCTGTTCTCATGGAGTTTATATTCAGTGTGAGAGAAATGGCAATAAACAAAAAAAGAAAGTGATATCAGGTAATGCTAAGGCTCTGGATAAATATGAAACAGGGTAGGGGACAGAGTGTGCCAGGACCAGGGCCTCTTTAAATGGGTTGGCCAGGGAAAGGGTCTCTGAGGGAATGACATTTAACAAAAGATGTGAGTAAAGTGAGGGAGGAAGAATTACCCAGGGAAGAGCATTCCAGAAACAAGAACAGCAAGTGCAAAGGCCCTGAGGCAAGGGTCCATTTGGGTCAGAAGGAAGAGAGATGAGGAGAATGTCCTGCCTACTTCAGGTTCCCGCATCTCCTTTCCTGTTCCTGGCATAGATGGGGTAGTGAGAATAATGACAAACACATAGCATCTATAAGGCAATGTTTTAAGCACTTTACATACATTAACACATTTAATCCTCTTACCAACCTTTTGAGGTAAAAGCCATAATTCTCCCTAAAATATAGATGTGGAAGCTGAGCACAGAGACTCCCCAACCAGTAAGTGGCTGAACCACAATAAGAAACCAGGCGGTGGGGGCACCTGGGTTAAGCGTCCAACTCTTGATTTCAGCTCAGGTCTTGATCTCAGGGTCAAGAATTTAAGCCCTGCATTGGGCTCCACGCTGGGTGTGGAGCCTACTTAAAAAAAAGAAAGAAAGCAACCAGGTGGTGGCTCAGAGGCCCCTTTCTGAGACTGCTGTTTGTTAGGATGCAAAATCTCTGCCCTGCCCCACGCCTGCCACCAGCCGGCCTGAACCATGTCTTCATTGTATTCCTGTCTGACCCCATAGCCCTTGTTTGGAATTCTGAGACCCTGAGAAATTAGCAGACTGGAGGCCCTCATTTCCACGTGTGCATTCTAATGCCCGCATCTCTTAAGCAGGGAGAAGGTTTTGAGAGAGGTTCTGAAATGCTGGTCAGTAACTGGCTGACTCAGACTCATGGTAAAAATACAAGTTCCAAGGCCCTGGACCCACTGACTCAAAATGCTTAAGGATGGGGCCCAGGAATTTTTGCTTTCCCTAAGCACTGCCAAGTTTCACACGCAGAGTATTAGAATGTGTCCTACCTCCAAACATCCACCGTTAGGGCTTAGTTGGTAATGGAATACACTTTAGAGCGGACAAATTGAATGACAGTTGTCAGGAGGGAGCAAAGGCCCCAAACCCAGGGCTGGGGCCCAGAGGCTCAGCAGGGATGTCTAGTGAGAGAAAAACAATATCCCAGACCCAGAGGTTCCCAGGATGAGGTTTAGACACAGCGAGCAGGACAGGAACTCAGTTTCTCATGCCAACTCACAAGTTTGGAAGTAGGTCCTGGAATCACGATTTGAATGATCTGACCTGGGTTGCAGGTAACTCTGGGCTGCACCAAGAATGGCCATGCTGAGACCCAGGGTATTGGACTAGAACATCTAAAACCCGCATATCCAAAAAAAAAAAAAAAAAAAAATGTTTAATAAAACCCACATATCCAAGGCCTAAGCCTTCAGGAGAGGGTTGGGGGCTTCTCTGAAGTGGGGTTTAGGGGTGGTACAGGGCTCCAAGATAGAGGAAAAAAGCAGGCCTGATAGATACAGAAATGGACAGGAGTCAGGAACAGTCCTCATGGAACATTTCCCTTTTCCTCAGAATGTGATCAGTTTTGTTCTCAAACCAATTTTATGAGCAGTCACCCTGCTCATTCTGCTCTTAAGCATGATTCTCAGTACCTTCCCAAAATACTGGGAATTGTTATTAATTTGCTGAGTAAAAGGGTCTGTCGCAGTTTGGAGAACTTAACTTGTTTATGAACATTTGGTCACTTATTTCCCTTTCTGTCCACTATGGGAAAAAAATCTCTTGACATTAAAATATTTCATTAGGGTGAAGAGATGTACAGAATTCAAAGAATATGTATATACATTACAAAAGGAATTCGGGATATGGAGAAGCAGGTTAAGAGATTGTATGATTCCATAGCCATGCACTGATTGAGAAATCCAGTCCAAAAGTGTCTTATTCAGTGTGAGCTTACTGATTATGACAGTCCACCTTCCTGCTATCAGGAAGATGAGAGTGTGAGTCCTGGCCTGTCACCTGGCACATTGTCGACACTCTCTACACCCTGTGGCCCTCTTCTACAAAGTGGGGATGATTGTACCCGACCCTTCTTATGTGGATTAAATAATATATGTTCAAAGCACCCTGAGTTCCATGTCTGGAAACATAGCACTCATTAATTGGTAGTCATTATTACAACACTTTATCATTAGTAATTATTTCTGTTGACCAGTGGTTCTCAAATTTTACTGTGCATGAGAATCACCAAGAGAGATGCTAAAACACGGATTTCTGGGCCCCTAGAGTTTCTGATTCAGTGGGTCTGAGATCAGGCCCAGGAATTAGCTCTTCCACGAAATCCCCAGGTGCTGCTGCTGCCATTTGCCAGGACCACACTCTGAGAAAGCAGGATAGACGTCACTTGTCCCTCAGTCCCTTAGAGCTTGTGCATACTCACGGGAAAGATGCCAGAATCCAAAGAAAGGACTTGGTACTCGAGAATCATTTCTTTCCTTGTACTTGTCTTTGAGGCACACTCCCATTCCGAGCCTGTGATGAAGTTCCTCCTTTGTGAATTCTTTCTCACTCCATTCTGAGGCTAAATGCGATGGGTCAGTGGAAGTAAATATATTCCAGGAGAAATGATGTTTTTATCGAGGTCTGTTCAGAGGCCATGGAGTTATCATGGAAAGAGCATTGGAATTCTGCTCCATTAACTCATCTTCTCTCTACCCCTTACTCTGCTCCATTTTCCTCACAGAAGTTTTCATAATCTGAAATTATATTATGTAACGTTTTATATTTTTATTGGATTTCTACCCTAGTAGAATATAAACTTTTTCTTTTGTGTTTACTATTATGTTCCAGAGCCTGAATCAGTATTAAATGCTTAATTCACATCTGTTGAACGAATGAATGAACAGAAATGCACATCAAGCTCCCTGCCCTATTGTGCTGTCATTAATATTAATTATTATCCCTTCTGTCATTAATATTAATAGTAGTATGCCCTCTCATGTTACAGGCTCTGTGTTGGGTCCTTTCATACATTATTTCACTTAATCTTTCAACAGCCCTTCGAGGGAGGCATTATCATCTCTACATTGTAGATGTGGAAACAGAAACTCCCAGAGGTTCATGAACTTGGCCAAGGTCACCTCATGCTTATTGTTAAACATAAAGTGTGTTCTCTTGAGAACGAACTCTCTTCACTCCTATCTTTTTCTTTTCTTTTTTTTTTTTTTTTTTAAGGTCTTGAGGTCTTTTATTTTCTTTACATTTATCATGCCATGAATTCATAGGAAGTGGGTTCCAGCAGCTTGGGCTCCTTTCCATTGGTTCTCACAAAGTGTGCTTCTCTGGGTAGGGCAAGCTGGCGCTTCAGTTGAACCCAAGTACCTTTCTCTTTGGCTTCCTTCTTTTTCTGATCATTTTCCTTCACACACTTCAGGAAGCTATCTCAGCTCTTTGAGTGTTTAATATGCTCAATGCGTACGTTAATTCTCTTGGCAAGCATCTTGCCCTTAACTTGTTTGTTTACAACAATGCCAACAGCATGCTGAGTAACATTGTAGACTCTTCCAGTTTTGCCATGGTAACATTTGTGGGGCATTCCTTTTTGAACAGTGCCCATTCCCTTGATGTCCACAATATCACATTTCTTATAGATTCGCA